TTATACTTTTGAGAACTTTAAAGTAGTGTTTCCAAATAGTTTTGATATTCTTTAACTCATAAAAAATTAAACAATTCTAGATGTATTGTTATACTATATAATTTGTGATAGATTCTAGTATAAATTATAATAATTAATATTGTATAATGTTATCATTTTATTATTTAATCTTTTAACAATATGATTTTGACACATCAAAAACATTTTGTATCCCATTGTTCAGGAAAAATTGTTCTAATGTAGGTTATAGTGTTAGCTATTATTTAATACTAGCTGAACCCGTGCACTTCGTAGCCCATTAAAAATCCTACTTCATATATATGTCTCAAACTGTGTGCTAAATTCATTACCTGTGATTATGCTAGCAGTATATTTTTATACATATAGATATATAACGGTTAAAATATGCTGAGTAATAATCTTACAACGATATTCAATTTAGTTTATCATTATGTAAATTTATTCGTTTTATCGAGAAAAGTCTAAATTTTGTCGGAATCGGTCCAGAACTTGGAATGGTATGTAATTCTAGAAATTGTACTCTTTCGCTAGCATAGCGCATATCTAGAGCCTCGTTCTTGAATTTAAATATATGCATTATTTGTCTATTTTTCTTAGATTAATACTATAATTATAATTATACCAAATTTCGTTGTAATTAATGTACCAATTGAAATTGGAATGCTTTTATGCATTAATCCAGACTGGGTTGTCAGAAGTAGGACTTTTAACAAGCTACGAAATACACATGCTCGGTTAGTATAAATATATTGTATTTAGGTAATAGATCTATATTATATAAATCTGTTTGTCATACATTTCTAAACAGCTAGATCAATTGCGACAAAATTTGGTACAGAGATATATTAGACCTACGAGCGGAAGATAGGCTAAGTTAAAAAGTGACGGGACTAAATATCGGTCAATTGAATATTTGAATTGTAAGACTATCTCGATAAAACGAATAAAATTACATAATGATAAACTAAAATGAATATCATAAAATTATTACTCAATATATTTTAACCGTTTCTGTATGTATAAAAATATTTTGATAGTATAAACACAGGAACGATTTTAACACACAATTTGAGCCATATAAGAGGTAGGATTTTTGAGAGGCTACGAAGTGCACGACTCAGCCACCTAGTGTATTTATTAAAGTGAATTTGGATACACAATATGTTTTGTTCTTCCTTCTGGTGCGTACACAAACAATTCAGAAGATATTCCGACACGTGAGCATGCTACATACAGCTGTCGATGTGAGAAGCATGGATTTCCAAATTCAGTCCAAATAGTTGTAGCGATTGTCCTTGTACTTTGTTGATAGTCATCGCAAAGGTAAGTCGCACCGGAAACTGCAAACTTTTGAATTTGAAATTCATATCTGTTGAAATCATTGGGATGCGTGGCAACAGTACATCTTCGCCTTTAAACTTTCCGTTTAAAATTGTAGCTTCGATAATTTTGTTCATCAACGTTTTCATTGAAAGCCTGGTACCCTTGCAGAGTCGTGGTAGATTGATGTTTTGTATAAAAATGATGAATACCCCAAATTTTAACGTTAGAACATGCGAGGGAATGTCTGTCAAATCAAGTGAATTTAAGAATTCAGTTGGATAAATAACAAATTTTTCTTGATTTATTACGGCATCAATGGACAGGTACGTTTTTGTGTTGCCTGGAATTTCGTTTAGAATAGTGATATTTATTGTACTTAGATCATAGTCTTTGACTGCCAATATAGCCCGTGCACTGAGCCACTGATGATTTATGTAATTTTGTATTAGATTTGGGAACATTTTGTCATTCATCTCTTTTGCGTTACTGTTATTTTACAGAAATTATTTGGCAATGTGATGCATTGTGTTGATTCATTGAACGGTAGTTTCCCATTCCCCATGTCCAACAATTTTTTTACGAAACGATCAGTAAATGCATCATTTTTTAGATGTACATGCATATTTTGTCTTCAAGTTCAATTTATGTACGTATTTCCATAAAACTGACGATTTGAGTTTTGAATTTATCTCATCAGCTGGTATTGAACTGGTAGGGTTTGTTGAAAATCACCAGATAATAAAATAAGTACGCCACCAAAGAGCTCTTGATTTCCTCGTATATCTCTTAAAATACGTTCAAGTGCTTTCAATGCTTTTTTGTGCACTATAGTACATTTGTCCCATTTAATGAGCTTACATGCTTGAAGTATATTACCCATTCTGAATGATTTTGTGATGTTGCATGTTGGTCTTTCTGTGATTTGCATGTTCAACGGAAATTTTAATGCTAAATGCGTTGTKCGGCCACCATCCAGAAGAGTTGCTGCAATTCTTAATRATGCAAAAGTGCAGTATCATTTCATGATCGTATGGTTGCTAAAATATTGAAATGAAAAAAAGTTTTGCCTGTGTCTYCYGGTACATCCAGGGAATATAATCCACCACTGTTGCTTGTGATATWATAAATAATTTTTTCATACGCTACGCGTTGTTCTGGAACCAAATTTGGAAGATTTCCTTGAACAAATATACTCAATTTGTACACGTCAAACTGCGGTTCTCACTGCAGATCACAATCACATATTAAGCTGTTTGTGGATCGATTAGGCGCAGGCATGCACAGTTGTACCACTTGTACCAGTGCTTTGTTAATGATTTCCAAACATATATTTAATTGCAACCAATGCCTCATTATACACGTTTAGTGAAAATTCAATGACTCGATTTTGATTCGTAGTACGCAAACGATGCAAAATATCTTCACTTATGTTATCTTTTTAATTTTCCCAAAGATCTTTTGGATTTGATGGAAAGCACGTTGTAAATATAATCGCAAATAAAGTGCGTATTTACTGTATTCGAGCAGTATTCGATGCATCGGCGAATCCAGTGTCTCAATGTGCATCGCTTTCAAGAAAATTTAATTCTTGGCAAGCTACCTGGTGTGGGACACAAACTTGACCGTTCGCTACCCTCAATTCTTCAAAAGATGTCGGCCCGTGCACATTGATTAACAATAATTGCAAGTAAGACCATTCTGTATTGTTTGAAGGGGCAGTATACGGATGGCCTAAAGCGCTGGTCGAATATAAATTGACATGTCCTTCAAATGCTTTGCCTTGTTTGCAGCGTTTAAACTTTTTCGCTCATGTATTCCATATGTAATATATTGGCACTTCAGAGTAAAGTAGCGTCTTTGAAAACATATCTTCGTTGCACAATGTGAAGAATGCAGTTAAAGTTGTTGATGATGGTGAAAATGCACTTTCACATACATTATCTGCCGTGAAGTACATGGTAATTTTCTAGGTGTACTACCAAATTAACAATGGATGGATTTCGTTCATRAATTGGAAATTATAGAATGCGCCATACTGCTTCATTACTACTTATGTTCGTCCCTGTTGATATTGGTTGATTTCATCTATAGATCCAGTTGTATTTTCCACATTGAAAATTTCCATATTGCTTTCCTTGTTAACATATTTGCAAATGTATTTCATCGATTTCGCCGAATACCAATACTCGACATTGATTCGTGCTTTRAACGTCTTCGAGAGTAACGGTGAATAAGGTAAAATTCAATAATTATTCATTTCAAAATTATTGATCCATACTTTTAGAGTGATTGATTTTCCGCCATCTTTAGCTGATAGATATGATAGAGTGGATA